AAGTGCATTTGAAGATTGTGTATTAAGGTCAACAAATCACAACTTTTAGCTTTCGTAAAAACACTTATGTAACAGTCAAAATTCATGATAGAAGGACAATGTTCTGTAGCGTTATAGTAGTGCGACAGTGTCCCGTGAAGAATGGTAAACTCATCTTTCGTATCTTTTTACACTAATTTTATGTCTTGTCATTTTATGTCTTTTATGTCTTGTTCTATAAGTTATTGTTTCTCCAATTATGTTCTATTTTGAACAACTTTCATCAGCCAGTAAATAAGTTATATCAATGACTAGTTTAAATTTTAATGAAATTTATACCTGGTTTTCTAAGCACTATTTCTTTCCATTTTGCACCTGCAATATCTCTTGGACTTTCCTCAGTAGGAGCGAATGATACCTCCTGAAAAAGATCACTTTTTATTTTTTACACTTAACAAAAAACGACAATCTTTAGTAATTACCAGTAATCGTATTACAAGTTGGCGCGTATACGTAGGGATAGATAAGAAAAGAACTAGTGCCTAAAAATTTTGAGATACAGTCAGTTGACTGGTGGAACAGTTGAAGCATGAAACAGTTGTTTTTGAAGTGTGCATAATATGCTGCTTATGGTGCGCTGATTAAACAGTGGCAAGCGTATTTCTAAGGGATGCTCAATCACAGTCATTCTTCGGTAAGCATCAATTACTACTAATGAGAATTGAAGAAATTAAAGGTGACAAAAAATGGCTGTGATTAATAATTGAAAGGTCAGGAGAGAGATTATTTGAAGTGGACAAATTGTCCTTCATTTTTTTCACCGCAACCACACATACTTCAGTATTCATTCGCCAAACTTCTTTCTCAAGTCTTTCAGCAGCATTTAGAAATTCATCGAGATCACTATGATTATTGATGAGAATTGTTTTGCGGGGTTGTTGGCATGAAGGAGTATTGGAGTCTTCCTGTAAACAGGAGGTCTACAGGTATTAAAAGGTACAAGTTTTATTTCTGAAACAATTTTTACTCTAGCTGTTGTAATTTTGGTACATAGTTATAAGGAAGGAGCTTAAAGTATGTTTCTTTAAAGTTTTAAAACAACTTTTTATACTAAATATCAGCACTAAAGTGACTTAAATGTTAAAAAGAAGAAAAAGATGTTTTTAAATATTTTTCTAGCATATACCTGTTTTGGAGCTTTAATTAACGTTCTACGAGCTAACCATCTTTCTGCATTTGAGATGACAGCTGGCTGATTTCTACCCAAACTACCGCCGCTGAAATATATATAGCGTAACTGCTGAAGTACATTATGTAAAATTTTAAGGGCTTATGCAAAGTTTGACAGATTTTAATTTGATCTATGAATGATAGCGTACACTGGAAGAAAAACTTTTTACTAGTTTCTTAACTGTAACAGCAAGGTATGAAAAATTGGTGGCACTTAACAAAGTTTTATAAAACTAACGTGATTTTTTGAATAGCATCAGTAAAACTTCCTCGCTCTTGAACAATATCACTTGCTGAAACACTTTGCCGTAAACTTTTTCTTTGGATGCTCTCTTTTTCTCGTTCTTGTCTTGCATTATTTTCCTAAATATTAATTACTAAAATCATCAACAAACATTAGTGTAAATAAAGCAGAGTTACTCTACTTTAACAACGGGTACCTGTTGTTAGGAAAGCATTCAAAATTTAAACAGTTGATTTTTAGGAAAAAAAAGGAGCATTTTTTACTTACCACAATAGCTATTTGTAACCGGTTTATTAAAGCGGCAAAGATTTTCATGCATTCTTCAACTTTGAACGTTTTCTCGTCTTCACAGAAATAATCAGCCAAATCATTTATCATATCTGTGAGCCCCTGTGCTTTTCGCTTCATTTCAACCAAGTCGGTTAGAGCTGCCTGAAGAAGAAATTTTAATACCTGATTTGTTGAGTCAATCATCAGTATTATCCTACTGGAAACGCGGAATTCAGTAAATAAATTTAGTGTTTTTTGAGAAAAGCTAGACTAAACACTGATCTCAAAAGTAGCATAAAATAAGTTGTTAAGGCTTCAGGTAATGTAATTCATAGAGTTTTCAGTAAAGAAACGACGGTAAAAAAAATGATGAAAAAAAAAAGAAAAAGACTACATACCTGAAATTTGCTTACAAAAGCACCAAAATAGCTATTATCTTTGGCGTTTTCGATTTGTTTCAGAATCTTTTCAACTCTATCAGACATAGTTTGTAAATCTGTTTTAATACTTTCAAACGATATTCTGAAATACACAAGAGAACCGGCTATAATAAAGCGTATTTAAAAAATTTTAGAAAATTTTAAAACTTTAACGGCTTTACTCAATAGATAAGTGCAAAGAATAAATTTGTTGAGAATAACTGTCAAAAAAAAGTTTTTTTTTGAACAAGGAACAGAAAAAATAAGTAGTTTTAAAACTAATTAAGCATAAAAACAGCTTCTAAATATCACCTACTTGGAAGCATCAGAAATACTCCTCAGTTCGGTGGCAAGTTGTTTAACAAGTGTGCAATCTTGCTGCAAAAAATTTATTAAATTTTCTCCAAAAAAAATTCTTAAACCAAAAAAAAAAACAATAAGTTTTATAAGTAATTCTGATATGACTACAAATTTACAAGGATTTTTTTGACCATTATCTTTTTTTAGAAATGCTTTTAAAATAGTTTGATATGAAAAAAAGAGGCAACATTTTTAGTCAGTCAAGGAGAGAGAGAGGGGAGAAGAAGAGAGAGGAAAGGAGAAGGACTTTGTTTCGGATTTTTTTATTAGCATATATAAATATCAAAACTTCTCTTTTTCCTTTTTAGCTTTTTATCTGTTAATTAAAAAACTAATAAAGCAAAAATTTTCACTTTTTCTTTAATGAACATTTTTTTTTTTTTCAAATAACCTACCAGGGCAACATAGTGCAGAAGTGTTAAGTTTGTTTTTGATGCTTTCACATCGATAATCCTCCATAGTGAATTCAACTTAAATCCAGCAGCATTTCCAGCGTTTCCATGCGCATTTAAAAAATTACCAATTTTTACCAGCATACAAAATAGTTTTGGTAATGTTTTACTAGTCCGGATCTCTAAAGTCATACAACCGATTATCGACGAGCAGTTTTCAGCAAAAGTTCAAAATATATTCTTATCATTTAGTTGTATCTATTAAATTATCAGTTATTTTTGGCAAATTTGGTTTTTTTTTTTTGCTTTATTTTACTTTTCACTAATGATTGGTATTTGAGAAAACACATCAAAAGGTTGGTAATTAAAAAGATCCACTTTCTTCTAGTAAGGAATAATCCAATTTTTTTTTGATTGATTTTTGAACGACAACTGAAAAAGATTTTATTCTTAAAACTGTATCTGTTTATTCGTTCTTTGTTGCTGCTGTTTTTCTTTCTTTTCTCTTTTCGTTTTTCAACAAAACATCAATTAACAGCAATAAAAGAAGAAAAAAGCAGTAAAATTAACCTTTACACGCCGTAACCATTTTATAAACATTTGGTTCAATAACTTCGTGAAGAATTTGCAATTCTTCAACCAGTATTAGACATTCAACCTTCAGCCGATAAGATGAAATTTGGATCAACTTTAACAAAAATTGTTCAGCAACACCTAACTGATGACAATCCCCGTCAAAATTGAGGAGTGTTTCAACCTATAAATAGACGAAAAAAATAAAAAGTTAACAGCTGCAAAAATTAATTTATAAAATAATAGCAAAAAAACCTACAGAACAAACAGTAGCAATATTTTTTGTTTGTTAAATGTCCAATTTTTAATGACATTTATTAAAAAAATTTTTTTTCAATATTTCTTAACACTGAAGCTTTTTTTCCAAACCATTTACATCAAGTACTTCTGCTTACCATACAATAGTAACAATAAGAAACAGCAAAATTAGCGTCAAAAAGAATGAATGACATACCTCTTGTTTTTCAGGTAAAATATTTAAAAAATTATGAAGATTTTCGAGATCTAAACAACCGCTTACACCTTTATGTAAACAGTCTAACACTTGTCCACCACCTAAAAATATCACCAAACTTATTTTAATCTTTAACAGCTTTGTTCCTGTTTTTATTATTTGCTTGGAGAGAATAAATGATTAATAAATGATTAATTTAGTATGGCTGTTTCAAAAAACATTCAATTTTACCAAAAAAAGAAGTGTCAAGAAGAGATAACAGTTCATAGAGGAAACCATCTGTTCACCTACCTTCTTTAAATTGTTTCAAGAAAATACTGACATTAAAGCTTCGTTTATAAGAAAGTAGGCAAATTGCATCAGATTTTTTTGCAGTTAATTTTTCCAACGTTGAACTCTCTTCAGACGATGTTGGAACTATAGAAAACAATGATTCTAATTCGTCCAAATCTATTCGAACATCTACAAAAACAATAAAGCTATAATTAGGTCAAAAAATAGTACATATAACTAATAAACAAAACTTTTATTATCTACATATCTTTATGCAAATAAATTCAAAAGAAACAATTAAAAAATAAACGTATAAAACAGCTGATTGGTATAGCTTACCGTCGTCGGGAAGTTTAGTTGCAAGCAGAAATACATTACTGGATGATCTAGATTTGGTAACCACCTAAAAAGCTTATATATGTTTCAAAAAAAAATTTTTTTTTACTTATGTTTTTATATAAAACTAGTCAAATACATTGTAAATTATTCGTTTTTTTAATATGTTTATTTAAAAAATGTCTAGATAAAAACAGAGCAATTAAAATAACCTTTTCAATTGGAATTTTTGTCCACTGTACATGCTTCATTTTAGTTCCTTTTTTGGGAAGATTTTTTGGCTTCAATGCAATTGGTAACTCTAATTTTACAGTGTCTTGAGCTGATGCCATCATTGGTGGTGGAGGTGGAGGACCTGCTAATGTAAAATTGGCAGGTATTGGCGGTGGAACTGGTGGAGTTAATGGCGATTTACTTGGCACTATTAACGCTGGAGATGGTCGTCCAGCAGTAGCATAGATAGCTTCTGAAGCACATCTAAGATCAGTAGAAATTTTAGTTCAAAAATACGATAGCTAGACAGTTTATCGACAAAAAAAAAACAGTTCTAGCTGCTTTACCAATAAAATTTTTGCAAAAAAAAAAACTAACCTGAACTTAAATCAAATTTTTCCCGTAATGAGTCGACTAGCAATGCGGCATTACACTGAAATACAGCAAAGCTGAGCTCAGAAGATACAAAAAGTGAAGATTCCATTCTTTATTAAAATGTACAATCGTTAAGCAACAGCACAATTTATGTCTGATAATTTTTTTAAATTTATTCTTTTTTTTTTTTTTTAGCTAACAAAATGTAATGGAAGAGGTAAAAAAAAGTGACAAAAATTGCGCAAACCTTATTAAGTACGTTATAACATATATCTTCTAAAATTTTTTCCCGAATTTTTTCATCTTTTCTTTTCAGTAAATCTGTTAACAGTTTTGCCAATTCGCTGACGTTCTCTTTGTTATCCGCACGCTAAAAAAAGATGCTTTTTTTGTTTTTTTTTTTTTT